ACTACCGTTACATCCTTGCACCACTCATCCCGAATGTAAACACAAACAACCCCTCCTCGTGTTTTACCTTCTTTCTTGAGTGCTCTGTCCGAACGGTAGCATGTCAGCTGATCCAGTTGTATGGCCGAGTCTGCGATGTTGTCGTGTAACCAGGATTCCGTGAAAATGTACACACAACAGTTGTCTAATGTCCGGTTCCCCGACCTCAAGAGTCTGATATGGTCCATTTTATTGTCCAGTGATCTCACGTTTGCAAGCAGAATGGACGGTATAGCAGGTCGAGAGGGGTTAGCTGCTAGCCTGTAGAAGATACCCCCGCGCTTCCCCCTCTTCCTTGTCCTCGAGCACCGCGGCCGGTGCCTCCTTGCCTGGTTAGATGCTTTAGGCGACTCCGTGGGGGTGCGCAGGATTCCCAGCTCCTGCAGCAGATTCTTTGTTTCCTCTTCCAAACTCCAGATCTTTCTGTTCCTTATATCCAATAAATCCTGTCGGCTGTTCATGCGTTCCGACACACACTGACGCGAAAGACACTTTGAAACGCACATTTTTTTACAAATAAAAAACAAAACAAAACAAAAAAAAACACGGGAGAGAGAGAGGGTCGCTGCGTCTATGCGCGCCGCCACAGTACGCTTAGAGGTTAGAGGTTTGAAAGGCAGAACATGCCAGGATCAGGCAATCAGAAACACGCTGAATCACTCTCAACACTGGCTCGAGGATAGTCTGTCCTGATGACTTAAAGCAGACATGTTAAGCCAGTCATCAATGCCAAAATCATGACAAAAAAGGCCTTACTTAAAAGATATTCCTTTACTCCAGATTGATCCAGAAATTGAGCTCTTTATCAGGACCAGTGTGCCAAAAGCCCTGGAGCTGAATGGTGGACCATTTGCAACTCGGACAGTGCTTGGATGGACTGTAAATGGACCACTTGGAGGTGGCAGTGATGATGTTGTAAACAGTAAACAACAATAAATAACTGTCCACAGGGTCTCTGTTTTGAATCCAGAAGAACTTTTGAACTGCAGTTTAAAAATGCCCTTGTCAAGAGATGTTTAGTGGTTTCTGTGAATGGCACACAACTCTTTACAATGATTATAACTGCTTTTTAAATTAGCTTCTGATCAAAGGCTATGCTGAGAAGATTCCAGAGGAGGAGCTAGATTGTGCTGATGGAAAGATTTGGTATATTTCTGTTATCTAGTGCAAACATGAATTCAAATCATGGACAAAACCTGGACAAAAAGTTTGGCTATCAGCTTGTGATATTAATCCAAAGGCTTCCAATCGCAAACTCTCTCAGATTCTAGTCTAGTTTACTTTGTCCTCCTTACCCGAGACAGTGGCGGACACCCAGCCTTCACTGTGCGAAGGATTTTGGATACTTATTTCTGAGGAAGGGGTTTTCAGTGTTGTCGATTAAGAGTTATAGACCGGAGGAACGGTCTTGGATCCCTCATTCTTTTATCTTGGGCTCTTACCTTGTTTGGGACTTCTCTCTGTTCCACTTCCTGAGGGGCGGTCCTTGAAGGGAGGGTAATGTTAGTGTCTCTGGGGTTTTGATGTTTTTCTGGTGTGAGTGAGCTTCCTGTCATGGTGAAGATCTTTTCTGGTGGCTGATCACAGCTGAAGTCAATTGGATGATTCGTGACAATAAAAAGGAAGAAAAGCAGCGAAGGAAAGCGATCAAACTGATGACACAAAAAAGGATAAGCCACAACTCAACTAAAGAAAACTGCTGAAAAAAATCTAAGAAATTAAAAGACACATGAAGTTAACTCTTAGTTCAAAGGGACTAAAGAACAAACCAGAGCATGAAAAAAACATTCAACTAATGAGAACATAAAAAAAGAACTAATATGACAAGAACCAAATCGCTAAACTAATAACTGCCTTAAAGCAAGACAGAAACGTGAAATTCAAAAAAACAAAACAAATAACAAATCCCTCAAAGGTTCAATAAGAGATTTTGATTAAAAACAATGAGTACTGTAAGGGATCCTTTATATTCACATCTAATATGAAAAACAAAATAAAAATTGTCATACTTCTGCTCAGTCTGCCAAGATGACTAGATATCAAACTGTTTTTTTTTCTTTTCAGGTTTGTAAAACTGTGTATGAAACCCTGATCTAATTTCACAAACCAGTATAATGAAGTTGATCACCACTTTTTTACAGAATTGCCAAAATTTGAAAAAGAAAACTGCCCGTCCCAGGTGAAAGACTTTAAAGTGGAAGTGGTGATGGATGGAGAGGAAAGACATTTGAACATAAGCTGGACAATTGGAATTGATGGTAAGAGACAGACAGGTTTCAGAGCGTCGGTTTGAAGAAATATAGATTGCAATTTAAAACAGTAAAAGTAAAAAAATAAATAAAATAAAAAAGATGGCGTGCTGGATTGTGGATATGTCAGTATCTCAGTCTGTCAAATACAAATCCAGGTAAATCTGGTCTATCAAGGTCCATAACATGATGGCAGTCAAAATGACACTTAGCAACAACTGTTTCATCTCTATGATAATTAATATATATAATATAATTAATATATATTAATAATAATATGAGAAATGTCTCTGAATGAATGCTAAGCAGTATCTGTTTGTCCCCAGCCAGCATTTCTCACCTGACCGGTACAAAGATTCATGTTGGAGGGGAAGGGACTTACGTCTGTAAATACAACCCACCTTTTACAGAAGCAAGCCTTGCTGGATTAGAGCAGGTTTATAAAACATCTTAAACTACAACTGGTGATGTTTATTTTAAGCAGCATTTGCATTGCCTTTAGGTATAGTCTATTTTTATCTCCATACTAAGAACAACTGTCCTCTTTGTAACCTGCAGGAATCTTTTTTTTTTTTTCTAAAAGTCTTTGGCTCACGCGAATACCCCGTCCGTGTTATGAATCTCCCAATACCCCCAACTGACCTTCGTTCTATAGAACTATATACTAACGTACCAAAAGGTAAGCAAATCTTCTTATAATTGTATGTATAATACATTAATTTTGTCAAACAAACTAAAAAAGATCAGCCAATTTCCTTGTAGATCTAATTTTAAACAAACAAAAAAAAGAATACTCTAAAGGTATAACTCAACACAGCATGAATGTTTAAACTTTCTTCTCTTTTTGCAGCACCCAAACCTCCAGCCAATATAACAGGTAAGTAAAGTCCCTGTTAGTGTTGCAAACATAATTTTTCCTTAACTAGTGTAATATTCCAAATTCTGTGATGAATTTCTTGGTGTTTTCATTATACTGTATATAATTTCATCCTAAGATTCAATAATACTTTTATCCCCTTAAGGTTCTTCTCTTCTATGTGCACATCAGTGTAATTTGATTACGATGCCCATCTGCCAAACTGTTCAGTTTTTCATTCCAGGAAAAACATTCACTCATTTCATTTTAGATTTTCAACATGCAAAATGTTTGCGAATGTATTTACATAGAATTTTAAACCATATCCCCATTTGCATGTTCCATGGTCTCTTTCTCTCTTTGCAGCTCCAGTCATATTATGATATTTTATTGTATATATACCGGTAGATAAAACAGTATTTTTTAGCTTTTAAAAAACTAAACTCAATACTTCGAGAACATCTGAATTGTTTCTTTTCGTTGCAGCGACTCAGCAACCTACCACATCAACGACTACAACTGATACTGAAAGTAAGAAAAATGTATTGTTTAGCCTGAAGTACTTAAAAAAAACTACTGAAAAGCATGAACTCTCTGTCCAAAAACAAAACAAAACAACCAAAATAAAAATGACTATTGTGAGGCAAACAGCCCATTCATGGTTTTACTGTGAAAGTTTTAACATTTCAAGTTAGATCTACTACAATCAGAGTTCTTAGCAGAATTTCCCACATTTATCTTAATGCTTTCAACCAATTAATTTACCTGTCAGGGTTGAAAAAGGCTTATCTTTGTCAACATGTAGAGGTTGAGTGCTGTACATGAATGGGTCAAACCAGCCTTAGTCAGAAAGAGAGAGTCAGTTTGATTTTCCCTGGCTCTCATGCAAGTTTGTATGGATTTGCATTAAAGTAGATTTTAAAGTAGAATTTTTTTCGTCCAGTGGGCAGTCCAGGGGGGTTCTGGGGGCATTGGGAGCCCCAGGATGGGACTTCTGGAGGCTGGGTGCATCGTCCATAGGGTGGTCTGCCCTTGGGTGGGGTCACTGCTGGGGGTTGGGGGCTTGGGTACGGGTTAGTATGCTTCCTGGCTTGTGGACTGGTGACTGCCAGGGCTGTGCTTTACCACCTCTGCTCCCATTCCCTTGCCTCTCTTTTTCCGGGGATTGGCTCTTCATATCTCAGGTGATGGTCGAGTTTGGGTTGGGGAGTGTTGGAGGGACTGGGGACCCCCCGGTCTGGGTTGTGGTCTGCCTCTGGTCAATGTCAACTATATTTCTATAGCACATTTAAAAACACCTATATTTGCCCAAAGTGCTGTACAACAAGCATTATAAAGTTTAACAAGTGAGTAAAAAGGTTATTTTTTTTTTTTTTTATAATAATTTTTTCTTTGGAAGTATCATAGCCTAATTAATATATTCTATTAACATCAAGCAACATGAATGGTATGGTTGTTACATGTCAGGTACGCTGGTCATTGACCTTGACCAAGGAATCTTTCAGTAGTACTGCAGTAGGTCCCTGGACTGGCATGGCTATCACTGCCCCTACACAGTTAGTGACTACTTTCACTCTGGGATCAACTTCAAAGTCATAGCAGGCCACTTCTTTGATTTTACTTTGGATAATCTTTTGGCAATGGATCTATTAAGATTTGGAACAAAAGCCCATAAAACACTGCAAATTAATATCTGAATCTTTTCAAGTCAAGTATTTTTTTATTCAAACTCAATTAACTAAATTGAAACAGCTAAAATAATTTTCAAAATCTGAAAAAAAAAACTGCTTACTAATTAAATTATATTAGAATTAGCCTGAAAATGAAATAAGCCTATGTAAAATCTAATCATTTTATTCATCTTTTAAATATTCATTTTTGAGTATTTATTTTATAAAATCGACTGTTTCAACACCATTCTAGATCATTTCTGACACTTTATTTGTTAAACTTAGAACCTGGAACCTGTCCAAGATTTCCTCCCCTCCTTATTTTCACATTCCCTCTAATCACATTGTCTTTGCCATTTGGCTGTGATGGCGTTCAGAACAGCAATGAAATCGAATGTGCCCTCTGGGCCATCGTGATTTGGTCAGGCTGCTCATAAGCGCACAGCCTGCCAGATGTTGAAAGGGCAATATTATTACCATTACTGTTAATATATAATAGAAATGTACACATTCAGTGATAAAATGTCACAGGGGATATATGGGGATAGTCATTTAAAAAGGGGGATGCCATCCCCCCCTCATCCCCCCTCAACTCGAGTACTGGCTGTACAGCAGCTGGGATAGACAGTGTGCCCAGATCCATCTCAGCTTGTGGTGTTTGTCCACCTTGTTGTCTGGCATGACCCTACACGTGGCCTACGGCTGCAGTCAGTTAAGGGGATGCTGGAAGGTGTTTGGTTCCTGGATAGTGTATGTATCAGGAGTGTAAGGGTGGGAATGTGTGAATGTAACTGGATGAATGTTAATTTTCTGCATCTACTTGTACAGTTGAGTGTTTTCCTCCCGCCACCTACTGAACATCGTAGGCCCCAAGTATGAGGAGGGCCTGTCTCCTCCTATTTCTTATGATCCTCACCAATGACAGGTGCCTGTGTCTGCTGACACAGTGATGGTTCTCTAGGTGCAAGGTTACTTCGGTGGGCACTGTCCCATTCCTCATGGCTGCCAGGCTGGGCCCCACCTCAGGGACCAGGGCCCTTTGGGGTCTGGCCCCTCTGGGGTCTTTTTCGGGGTGCACTCATCTGTCCCTCTCTGCTGGGTGTGGCAGTTCCAATGTAAGCCCTCCTAGTGTCCCAGTTATCTAGGGTGCCTTTGGATATTTTGGGTACACAACTCCTCGTTTTTATCCAGAGCTCTGTTGGCCGAATCTGGGGCCACTCACCACTGTTATTAAGCTTTTTTTTCTTCTGAAGAGGCTTTGTAAATCCTTTATATCCTAGGAAGCTTTGTAAATCCCTATATAAGCTTTTAAAAAGCTTCTTCAGAAACTTTGTAAATCCTTCATATCCTGGGTCTCTGAGTAAGACCCTTAACCCCAGATTGCTCCACAGGCCCTCTACAATGGCAGCTCACTGCTCCCCAAGGAAATGGGTTAAATGCAGAGGTATATGTGAGGTCAATACATTTCTAAATATTATTAATATTATTGTTATTATTATGGTTATTATTATACCCGAGAATGCCCATGCATACGTACCACAGGACTTTGCTTCCAGGTGTTCACATATACACTCTAATACGAAATACTAAGCTGCAGGTAGAGAAATCTATATACCACCCTGAATTATATTTTAAAATATATCAAACACCATACGTTTCGCCTTCCAGGCACATGGATACCTAAGGTACACCCGCTTCTCTGGAAGATATTTTTCATGTTTACTTTGGTTGTCTTTTGTCTTTTTTTTTTTTGCTTTTGTTCTGTTTTCTGTTCCTCTAATCTCATACAGGTGTAGAAACTGACTTGTAGGAATTACTTTATATATTTTGTGTTGTCTATGTTTGTGGTTTTGTTTTATTTTTTCTCTTTTCATGCTGTTTCATGTCTCTATCTCTTTCTCTCCTTAGTTATTATTATCCATTGTTTCTTTCTTACCTCCCTTTTCGTCTCCTCGGCTGTTGTGTACGATTTTACTCTAAATATTTTTCAATAAAGTTTCATATGCAAGTACCTAGCAGAACCTTATGGCAACAGCCGATATTAGATTAGATTAGATTCAAATGTATTGTCATTACACAGGTACAAGGCAACGAAATGCAGTTTAGCTCTAACAAGAAGTGCAATAGCAGCAAGTGCGGGATAAATAATGGTTCTATAAATACAGGACATAGGTTCTACTGAATAAGTATTTGCCTGCTTGTAAAAGCAAAGCTATTGGGTTATCATCTAGCTCCAGAAAAACAATAAACAAAAAATAAATGGAACAAAAATAAATTAGATATTTTGATTGGCTCTGAAATCCCAGCTTTAAATATTTTCATTTCAGGCATCCTTTTGTGTTCAACCCAGATGATTCCATGGAATTAAAATTTGTTCAAACGGACTTCATGTGTCAGCATGAAGTGTCACTTCCAGAGAATCCATTTATTTCTATATTTACCCTTACCCTTTCTAACTGTGATTCCAGTGAAGTAGCCTTCTCTGATAGCCCTGTATCCTCCTCTTAGTTTGCACAGCTAACAGCATGGTGACTGTTTTAACAGAACCAGAACTTATTAGCATAAAGTCAGTTGCAGTGAAAGCAGAGATATTAAACGTTGGAGTTTAAAAGTATTGACTTTAAAATAGAAAAGGGCAGAAAGCAAGCAGGTAGGAAAAGAACAGAGCTGCCGCTTGCCTTTCCAATGCAGCCCCATTGTTGTTGCTTCCTTATGTTGTTTCTTACACACCACTTTTAAAAGATCTTTAATGGAATAAAAAAGATTCATGCCCCTGCTCTGAAACTTTTAAATGTTATGTGATAATTTTAGAGCTGTGGAAACAAAAATAATTGATTTCTAGATTTTGCTTTGTTCCTAAGAAATCGATCTCTAATCTTTGCTTTCAGTTCCTCCGACAACGGGAATTAAGAATACCTCTATAGTCGCCATTGGAGTGGTGGCCTCTTTAATAATTCTGAGCTCCTGCATTGTCATCTGTAAGTAAAATGTATTTTCCCATGTCATCTGAGGAGGGGTTAAAGCATAGAAAGTAAAAAAGATAAACATGAACTGCTTCATTACACTGAAAAAAGTACTGCAACCGTTTTTGACATTGTTACTTTAACTCAATTGTTTCATGTTAGCAGGGTAGAACATAAAGCATTTTTTTTAAAGTAACTAAATATGAGTAAGTAAATGCCAAAAGCGGTTGCATTATTTTTTTTTCAGTGTACATGCATCAGCTGCACTTTAAAAATGCATCCAACTGTGCTTTAAAGAAATGCCTCTTTGATCTGTTGTCTCCAGATAAATATTGCATGACAGTTTCGGATTTTGAAATCATCCCCTTGACCCCCATGGTTCCAGTCTCTGTGGTTGTGGTGTACCCGGCGGAGACGCCTGCCTTTCAGAGGGCAGTGGTGGCACTGGCAGAGTTCCTGCAGTGGCATGGTGGCTGCAGAGTGGCGATTGATATGTGGCAGCAGGAAAAAATCGCAGAACTAGGACCACTGCGCTGGTTAGCTGACCAAGTGAAGAATGCCGACCGTGTGCTGATCGTCTCTCCTCAGGCGAAAACTGTAAGCTATTTTTTTTTCTTTGGTTGACTCTGATAACTTCTGTTTCTTGCAAAAAATGAGTCGTTCTTTTCTTCTAGACCTCCTCCTTGCAGGGACACTCTCCTCCCACCAAGAGCCTCCCAGAGCATTCCATCCCAGCTGCAGCTCATGACCTTTACCCTCTGGTTCTCAATATGGTGGCTAGTCATGCTAAGAGTGCCAGTGAGCTGGCAAAGTTCTGGGTGGTGAAGCTGCATCCAAAAAACAACAAGAAGTCTTGTGTGCTGCTGCCAGAGCTTTGTACATGCAAGATTTTCTGTCTGATAAAAGATTTAAACAAACTCTGCAAGAATCTTCACGCTGAGAAGGCCGGCAAGAAGATATGGTCGATTTTGGTCAAACCCGAAGCTTTCTACAATCAAAACAGTACTGCCAAATTAAGGGAGGCTATAGAAATGCTAGGTGCAAATAAACCACAAATCTCTAATGGGATTAACCATCCAGACCTGTGTTGAAAAGGTTGAGGGGATACGTGGATAAATATATGATCTATTTTTTATACTCCAACTTGTTTGTTCTTGGTAATGTTTTTTTCTTGATTGTAACAATTTCAGACTATTAGTACGTATTTTATTTTGAGATTTCTAAATAGCATTTAATAGGCACATTGTTATAGGAGTGATTCAATGTCAGAAACGCATAGCTGTCATGGTTACAATTGCAAAAAGGTACTTTACTTTTATTTGCTCCATTGTTAAAGCATTTGGCACCTGAGTTAGTAATCATCACTTCAGATTTGATGTGATAGACCAACACAAAGTATAATGTGAGAGCAGTCTGGAATTGACATGTTTTTCATAAATAATCACCAACGAAATATGAAAAGGAGTGTCTGTATCAGTATCTAACTTTACTCTAATACTTCTACGTAAGTAAAATCTATTGCTACCAGTTGCCTTCAGGTGACTCATATCCTATAAAAAGGGATTGCCTGTTAAAAAGTGTGTTCTATGCTTATTTATTAGCTGGTTTGTGATAAGCTCTGAGATTTGTTGAAGAGATTTAATGATCATACTAACAAAATCAAGAAGACGACGACCAGTCCAGGCAGGTCAGTTTAAAGCTGGATTAGATTATGAAACAATATCCTAAACTTTGAACAGCTCATAAAGCTAGTTCTGTTCGAATTATCACCCTAATCTGGAAATATTATGGAAAAACTACAAGCCTGAAATCCACATAGCCGTCAGCTTAAACTTAAAGGCCAGGTAAGGAGAACATACTGAAATAAAAGCAGACCAGAGCTCCATGATGTTTCTAGAGGAGCTGCAGGGAACCCACAGCTCAGGTGGAAAAGCCTTTTGAAAAATGACAGTTTTATGTCATGCACTCTATGAATCTAAACCTTTTTGGATATTTTAATGAGTGATAAGAAGAAAGAATTGATATTCCCTTTTCGTGTATTTAAAATGTTATGTTTTAGTACAGACTGCACATAACCCTGAACCCAGGTTACCTGCCAAGTAACATGGTGGTGGTCAAATCATGTATGTGTGTAAGAATGGCCCAGTCTAATCCTACACCTGGTTTTTAATATACTACTTAAAGCTAACTTTCTTTCCGGGATGAGACAATTATAATCTCAATTTGTAAAGTGACCTTGAGTGTTTTAAAAGGTGCTTGTAATTCAAACTTAATATTATAAAATATATCACATTTTTGGCTCTAATTTATCAGTATAAAATTGTTAAATGTTTATTAAAATAAAAATGGTATTAAAGGTAATAAATCCAATGCTGTTCATCAGCAGGTGTGTGCATCACTGTTAAACTAAAGGGATTTGCACTTTGATTATCTAAAAGCATAGAAATGTGTAATAGCATGTTTAAACTACATCATTATTTTGATGCATCTGAGAATGGTTCCAGGGATATTTACTCATTATTTGCTTTTATTTAATATATAAGAAGAGCAATTATTTTTTACAGTGAGTCAATACTTTTTGTCATCCAAGTGCAACTAGGTTCACACTCAGGTCAGACTGTTTGGTGAACCACTTCTAAGAACTTCGCACACATTCTGCTATTTTCTTGAAATACTGCCAACAAGCAAACTGTAACAGGTGGCTTTTCACTGTGGCTGTTTTTGCAGTTTGCACAACTGTGTTCATTCTTTGTTTTCTGCTATACGTCCTTATCTATTTGTTTTTTAATTATCTTGTTATTTTTTTCCAAATGAATATGTTGTAGTTGGTGAGGGAGATAAAAAATGAATCAAATTTCTACATTGTTCTAATAGGCCTCAAGTCTACAATTACTGAATTTTTGGATGTTTTAATTTTGCCTAATAAGGATTTGTAAAATTTAAAGATAGAAAAAATAATCCATGGAATGAGTATTTTTACTCATCTATAATTTATTATTTTTATAATTTTTATCTATAATTAGATAATATGCACTTGAAATAAAACAATACAACTGTGTTGTCTTATGTTAAATGTAAATTGTCTTGTTCCGTTGGCAAAATGTCTCTTTTACCACCCCAATCCAAGAACAAATGCACTTATGTTAAGAACGACTGTGCATTCCCAAGGGGCGGTTCAATTTGAATGTTTTCTACGCCAAACAAGCCTTTGTTTTTTGGTCCACTCTATAAAGCCTCGAACTCAACGCTATTTCTGACATTTGGAGTTAAAAAATCTTCCTGGATGGGAAACGAAAAGTTTTCAAACTTGGAAACAAATTCAGTGGATTGTTTTTATTTTTTATTTTTATGGAATGAAATTAAGAAAATTGCCCTCATTAGATAAATTTATACCACTTTTCGGTCAGGGCTCAAATAAGCAGAATTAACATGAGCACATTACCCCCATTCTCCATTCATTACACTGGCTTCCCATCTCCACCAGGATTGAGTACAAGGTTTCTCTCCTCACACATCAATGCATCTATAAACATCCCCCCTTACCTCAAATAACTTATCAACCCACACAACACAGAACAAGACTAAGGAAAATGGGAGATAGAGCATTTTGTGCTGCTGCCCCACATCTGTGGAATGCCCTCCCAGACACCTTGAGAGCACTCAATCCACTGAGTGTTTTAAAAAATACCTTAAAACATTTCTTTTTTGCAAAGATTTTGGTCCCCTTTAAATGCTTTTTTCTCTCTCTTTTTACCTGTAGCACATTAAGATGTTTTGATGGAAAGTATAGTATAAATTAAATGTATTATTATAATTAAAATACTGTTGCTTTCATGGGCGATTCTCAGGGATGGGAAGTAAGTACAAATACTTTGTTACTGTACTCAAGTAGATTTTTCTGATATTTTTACTTTACTACTTTTTTTATGGCAACTTTTTACTTCTACTCCTTACATTTTTACACAAATATCTGTACTTTCTACTCCTTACATTTTAAAAAATTGGCTCGTTACTTTAGTTTTGAATCATTTCAATGGAGTTACCGTTATTATTTTTCACGTCATCAATACCAAATTCAATCTAATTGGATGGGAATCTACGTTGCATTTGACGCACCTCTACAAGATGAATCGACAGATTCGGCGGTATTCATTCGCGGCAAATCATTGCAGCTTGGTGGCGGTGGCGTTAGCATAGTAGCATGGACGACGAGATGATTGAAAATGAACACAACGGAGATCTAGTCCTATTGGCAGACATCCATTTAAAATGTAGGCAACGGCATGAAAAAAGTGGTTTCTACTTTTACTTTTATACTTTAAGTAAATTTACAAGCCTGTACTTTGTTACTTTTACTTGAGTAAAGAATTTTAACCAGTACTTCCACTTTTATCAGAGTATTTTTTAACACAAGTATCTGTACTTTTACTCAAGTACGGAAAGTGAGTACTTTTGCCATCTCTGGCGATTCTAGACAGGGGCCAATAGGGGCCAGTGCCCGTAGTTCATGTCCAAGACCCTGTACTGAGGACATATTACTCAAAGAAATTCTAATGATGATATCAGCTGGAACAGACATGGTTATTGATAGGTCCTTTGGATCTATTTCAGTTTTTTCTCTACAAATTCCGTTTTACTAATTATTTAAAAACAATAAGGTGATAGTTTCAGTGCTATTGAGATAGGATCCCAGTTTTTTTTTTTTAAACAAAATAAAAAAAACTGAATTAAGTTCTAATTTAGATTTTATAGAAAAGGGTAATTTTAGCTTAAATTTAGTCAAAAATATGTAAAATACCTAAATTATGAATGTTTATTGACCTACTAAGACGTTTTTTATTTTAATCAAATCTAATTAATAGACAATTTACTTCATGCAGCTATATTTATATATTTGAATCCCTTGCCCTTTTTTTTCATGCTTTTCTGTGCCCCCATGAAAACACGTTGGCCCCCTCCTGGCCCCCTGGTACATTTGGTCTAGAACCACCACTGGTTGCTTTCATGCTATAATTCAGTTGCTTTTATTAAATCTAGTGTTTTTTGTTTTTTTACCTTTCTCTGTTCATTACTACCTAAATGGCTAAAAACTGTCACCATACTGAAAGACAATAATCGAAAACAGTCATAAAAAGAGCATGACTTTTATTTGGTCTTTTTTTTATTTTTTTTTTTTTACTTTTTTTTTTTTTTAAGTAAAACTAGAAGTCCTTCAGCCAACATTCTCATTATCATGTCTTACCAGATGATGGCGGTAATGAGCCGTGACGTTGTTTACAAACAGCCCAAACGTCCGCAGAAGAAGAATCCACTCACTAACACGGAAGTGGAAAGTACACAGAACGCTTCAGGTAGTCAAAAGCAACGCAGGCTTGAGCCGCACTGTTAGGTTTTATGTTGCTCTTGGTAAATATTCTTTGAAATGTAAAAAAAAATAAATAAATAAATAAAAAAGAAGCCATGACGCAGGCAGAGAAAGAGCAGGACAGCGGGAAGGAGAAGGAAAAGGAGAAAGAGAAGGAGCAACAGCGCGGAGTGAAGAGACCCATCACTCCTGCAGCAATCCCTGAACCTCCTCAAGAGGTACCTTTATCTGCCCTGCATTGCTGTATTCTTAATAATTAATGTTAATAACGTTTTTCTTTTATTATAAAATGCCCACAGTTTTAAATGTTGAATATGCATTTTTATTTTTTTTCTTGAGGGGCTGCAAAAAGCTTATTGTTTTATACTGGGAAGATCGGAGCAAAGAATAATGGAACAAAATCCAGTTTTCTTAATAGACCAAATGTTTGAATGAGGCTTTACTGCTGGAAGAATATAGATGCTAAACTGGGATAAACAAATAAAAAAATCTAATATGAAAAAACGCTTTATATAATAGGTGGTCAGTTGTGCTTTATTATAAATAAAACTTCTGTTATAATCAAAAATAATTTGAGTATATAGTAAATGCTTTTCTTTATTTTTATAGTATTAGTGCTACTGGTTATAAGTACTGTATCCTTTTTTGTTTATCAATAAAATGATTAACTTGTTGCACATTATTAAGCATTTTCTTCAGGGAACTGGGAACAGATCCCAGTGGAAATATTGCTGTAAGGGGAAGTTATTATGTTATTATAAGTTCACATTTCTCCAATCCCTTAAATATGTGAACCAATTTTTTAATTCACCATTCTTCTTGTATTTTGCTTTTTTCCTCTTCACTTTTTTAACTTTCTGTGCATGTGGTTACAGATGCAAAATTATATTGATAAAAGGAATTTTGGTATTTAAAATAAATGCAAAATTAAATAATGAAATGGAAATTATTTGCTTCATAACTAAATATGTCTTCATGGTATCTTGAATAAATTAAATAAAGTTAGAAAGGTTAATAGCACATATCATTTATATTGCTTAATATAGCGCTTTAGAGAGACTGCTGTTAGGATGACTCCCTCCCTGATAGAAATTTCCTTTTTTTTTTTTCTTTTTTAATAAATACTAACTTTTTAGTATATACCACCTCCACAATCATCTCCAGCATAACTTGCCTTTCGTTGGTTTTTTTTCCAAATAGCTGAATTTCTTTTATGGATGTTTTAGAAGAAACTAATTTTCTTTTTGTCTGTGTGTGTGCTGCAAGTGTTGACTAAGATTTTGTCAATAAATATTGAAAATAGTTTATAGAACATAAACCTGAGGCGGCTTTTCCAATTTTGACCATGAAGCACCAGAGATCGTTTTGACTTTTTACTGCAGATTAATTTACAGCCATTCATTATTAGTTCTTTGTTGAAACAAACAAAAAAAAAAAAAAACAGAAAAAAACAACAACATTTTTTTTAACTTTCTGTAGCAAATACAAAGCAGTTTCGTCATTGTGATCCACCCTGGATCCAGAACGCTTCGCATCGGCCGAGCCACAGACACCCTCCCTATAACCGTCCCTCATGTAATCGCACGGAGACATAAGCAGGGCGGACAGGCCAGGTATGAAGATGCTTGGCTGCTGAGAGACGGCCTGAATGTAAGTCATGGTTAAACAGATGAGATTGTTTTGGTCTCCAGTCACATAGCTGCCTGACTCAAAGCTCACATTTCCCTTATTGTGTAAAGCAGAAGGCAGAGAGCAGCGAACAAAGACAGAATGGACTAAAAATGGTGGAGCAGGCCATCTGGTCCAAGAAGATGTCCAATGGTGTGAGACGGACTCCTGTGTCTGCTGAACAGGTTTGTTTACTAAAGAGGCAACTGATGCAGAGATGGTTGAAGCGTTTTTTATTGCCACAAAGGTGGGGTGAATACTGGGCTGGAAATGGTCACTTCAGTCAGTTTCCTGTCTGTGTGTTTAGGCCAGAGCTTATAACTGTCAGATTCGTCCGGCAGTTCTGGACAGCAGTTCAAGAGTGAAGTGGACAAACACCAGCCACCATCCCAGTCATCTGGTGGGAGAGGAGGTAAACTCCAACCTGCAGTTCATTTACTGTAGATTTGATCAATTTTGTGTGGTTTATGATTCAGCCACCTTAATCATGCCTCTGCACAGGCTCTTTATGTGAATCCATCAGACTGTTACGACATCCACTGGCCTGTTGTCAGAGGTCAGCTCAACGTGCATTCTGGCCCCGGAGGCTCTCTGACTGCGGTGCTGGCTGATCTTGAAGATATCTGGAGTCACGTCATTCAGAAGCACCTGGAAATTCCCCTAAAAGAGTTAAAGGTAAAAGTCCCAAACAGTAGGACGACCAATCAGCAGACCAATTTCAAACGTTTCCTGTGTTATCATATGTTTTTTTTTTTCTTGTCCTTATGTCTGTTAGTACTACAGATGCATACTGTTGGTCCCAGACATCTACAACAGACATCATGTAAAAGAAATCGTCACCATGTTGCTGCAAAATATGGGCTTTTCAGGTATTGGTCACCAGAGGCATCATCCCATTTAACCTTTTCTGACACATTACAGCCACAGTCTTTAAATGTAGTTAGTTGGGTTGGGTGACCAATAAAAAGTAGCACAGAATTGTGAAGTTGGAGAAAATGATACGAGTTTAAGTCTTTCAGGGTATTTCTCAATAAGCTTTCCAATTCTACAATCTGTTTATTGATTATTTTTTCTTTTGTCTCCAAATCAGCAGTAGTGCTATTAATTCTACATGGGGTTTAAATCTGGACTTTGGTTGGACATTTTAGTACAACAGTTTGTTTGTTTTATAGTGTTGAAGGTATAGTGGAGGATGTTCTTTTTCCGGGTGGATCATCAAAATCAGTGGTCCTCCTAATTGCCAGTCATTGTGGTGATATGTTATGTAAAGCCGTCCTACGTGCCCCTCCCCATTTTCACTTACCGGTGGTGAGTCTGACATAGTGGAAAAAATTGCTAATCTTCTTTTGGAAAGTAAGCTTGTATGAGCGATGCAAACAGCAACTTTTAAACAGAGTGAGCACTTTTCAAAAATCCTTCACTATACCTTTATTACAAAGCTTGAACAGATTAAACAGTGTTCACTTTTCTTTAATGTTAAATGTGATTTGATCTAAAATGTTCCACTCTTACTTTGGCATGTAGATCAAATGTAACTTTTGGTCCTATTTAAACAATTTTTTTCAAACGCTAACCCTGTGTTTCCTACATGGCTTTTTTCAATACTAAACATGAAGTGGGCTGGTCTCTAACCACTCCAGATTGCAGACCTGCACTGTCAGGACTCTGTAGAGGTTAACTGTGAGGTCTGTGCTGTTAGAACCAGAATTTTATTTGAAGACTTTCAAAGTAAAAGCCAAGTTGATTCAAAGCCTTTCTAAAGTAAAATCTTGCATTGATAAACTCCCCATGAAGCTAGCTTCCATTTACAAACAAGTGTTGTTATGCAGGAAAATTATCTACACACACAATTTTACTCTGCAACAAACTCCTATCTGATAATAATAGATATGTGCTACATAGAAATAAATGTTTTGGATCTATTTGGATCACTGGACGGAAAGGGCAATTGGTGCATCAGACATTTTCTAAACGACAATAGAGGTTGGTGGTGGCTTGACCACTGCTTGAAATCAAACTATTTTATTTTTTTAATATTTAAAAAAAAATCAGAAGCTTTTCAGGAATTAAAGGAATAAAGAATTGATCTGCTCTTAATAATTGTGTTCTAGTCTGTTGTGGTCTGTTACGTAACATCCCAATGAAATCCAATAAAGTTTGTGGTTGTAAACCTTTTTATATGAATTCATTTCGAGGTGCTGTGTGACTGCACAGTGAATACACTGTTCATTGTCTCTTGGTTTTGGCTTTAATCAATGATTTGTTTGTGTAATTCTCTGTATATATGCATGTTTTCCAGGCATCATTGTTCACCAGGAGTCTGTGTGCGCAACATTTGGCAGTGGGTTAAGCAGTGCTTGTGTGGTGGATGTAGGCGATCAGAAAACCAGTATTAGCTGTGTTGAGGATGGAGTATCCCATCGAAATACGAGGTGAAAGAAGCGGCTGCCAATCATAAAATTAAAAGATGAATAAAAATGAGATATTGATTTTTTATTTTATTTTTTTGCAATTCATGTGATTGCTTTTGGTTTCTGCAGGCTCTGTTTGGCATACGGAGGTTCTGATGTGACCCGTACTTTCCTCTGGCTCCTGCAGAGGGCAGGATTTCCCTACAGAGACTGTCAGCTGACCAACAGGCTGGACTGTCAGCTCCTGCAGCACCTAAAGGAGACCTTCTGTCATCTGGATCAGGTTTGTGTTTGGTAGCTGGGATTTATGAGCTACGGTTTTTGCTTTTCAGTGGTTGATTTCAAATTGTTTCTCTGTAATCTTTTCATAACAATTAGTGTATCATTTAGATTTTATTTTGTAAACATGTTTGGTTTGTTTTCAACAGGACATTTCTGGATTACAGGATCATGAGTTTCAGACACGTTTCCCAGAAACCCCAGCTCTTCTCTACCAAATTCGACTTGGGGATGAAAAATTACAGGTATCTGGCTTAAAAGAAGTAATTTCTCCATTTTTGTTCATCCGTTTTGTGTCTTTTATAATTGACGTGTTTTTTTTGTGTTTTTTTTTTTGTTTTTTTAAACATACTTTCCATATTCTCTATAGGCACCAATGGGTCTTTTCTACCCGAGCACATTTGGCATTGTTGGTCAGAAAATGACATCACTACAGCACCGTTCCCAAGGCAGCTCAGAAGATCCGCATGATGAACACTACCTGCTGGCCACACAGAGCAAAGGGGACCAGGTAACACTGCTTGAAATCAAGAGAGTTTAAATAATTATTTCTGGATCTTGTCATTTTCCTTTTGTTTATTCTATGATTTTTTTTTTTTTTTTTTTTGATTTTTTTTTTTTTTTTCTACAACAGTCCTCCAAATCTGCAGCAGAACGGAAAGCTGTTTCCAGGCCAAGTGGGGGTTTGGATTCTGAGATGGGCTGTCAGGGAAGAATGGGGGAGATGTCTGATGTGCCCAGAGGCTGTGGAAGTGGGAGTGGAGGTGCTGTAGGAGGAGGGATGCATGGAGAAATGGAGCTGGGGCCTGCCCAGGGAGAGGGCCTGATGGGGTCAGGAGAGGTGGAGGAGTCTCTCTCTTCTCACCAATCCAGGAAGACGGCCATCATCAGCCAATTTGAGGGCAAAGCCTTGGGACTGGACAAGGCTATCCTGCATAGCATCGACTGCTGTGGTAAGAAAGAGGACCAAAGAAAAAAATCATGTAGAGGAAACTAAATTACATGTTCTAAAATGTTGGACAGCAGGGCGAGCATTTTACTATCATTTACACCTAAAGATAAATAATTGGTGCTAATAGGAAAAAATAAATAGGAGCATGCGTGTGATTACAGATTTCACTCTGTAATCACACGTGTTTTACTCCTAAGATTAATCAGGCATAATTTAAGTAATATATCTGTTCTCTTTTAATTAAAAAATAAATTATAATAAGTAAAAAAAAAATATATATATATATCAAAAAAGAAATTTCCAAAAAGTCAAATTGTAAATCTGTATGGGGAAAATATTTAAGGAATCAGTTACAAGTCTGTTACCAAAGATTTCCTGCAGCGCCTCCCAATGCGGGACAATAGTGTGTACACATTTACCTCCATATTTGTACATAAACATTAGAGAAGAGCCATGAGACGTGAATCCTGCAATCAGCTGAGAGAAGCAGGGGAACAGGCTGCAGCCGCGACAGCAGAGAGCAGGCTCTGGAAAAAAAGATCCCTCCTCAACTTTGACTACATAAAACTTAGTTACTATAAAACTACTATTAAAATATGTCGATACCCTGAAACTTAATGAGCATAACGGCAGCACCGATGGTGTATTAAAACATTTGTCTCTTCGTTGGCACATAAACAGGAGGCAAACATCAACCCACCAAGACAGATAAGTTCAGTGTTGCCAACTTAGCAGCTTCAATATATTTAGCGACTTTTCAGACCTTTTTTTTTTTTTTAAACAACCAGTGGAAAAATCTAGCAGCCATTTCTGTCTTGTTGGAGACTTTAGTGACAAAACTTGCACTAATTGCTATGAGTTTACGGTGAGAAGTGAGCGAGTGAACCCCTGCCTTCTCCAAAGCACAGCAGCTGCAGTCAGAGAGCAGAGCGCCTCTCCTCACATGAGCCACATGTGCATAAAACTTCTACTGATCCTCCATTAATTAAAAGATACGATGTGAAAAAAATATTTAACTTTTCTTTTTTCCTTTGAACCTGTTGCACTAAAATAGATCCTCTCTGCATTTAATACTCAGCCTGATCCACTATATGCCTCTGTGAATTGCCTTTAAGTTGAACTGGATAACATAAAGTTGATTTAGTTTCAGTTAGGGTTGAAATAAACTTAAGTAGAACTAGAAATGTTTTATTAAGTTTATCTTGAGTTTTAAATGTAAAAAGGGTATTTTTTAACCCCTTTCTGTTTTGCTTATGTTGATGCACCTATAATATGGAAATTGTGCTATTATGTCATTACCCCGTGCACTACTTTCATGAAAAATCCTGGGGAGAACCCATGTTGGCCGGGATTAAGGCTGGAAGTGATCAGCTGTGAATTTAGACACTCTAGTAATCTTTAGCAGTCCTCTTCTCTCACCTCAGCCTAACTAACCCTTTGGATTATACCAGTGTAATCCTGACAGCATGAGGCACAGACCTATAAAGTCTAAATATTATCTTCTTAACATCATTTATCCTGATATGCATGTTATCAGAGTCTTAGAAAATGTACATTAATACTGCATCATTGTTATGACTTTTCTTAGAGAAACTTAAGTGCAATAAACACCATATGGCAAAGATTAAGGTTAAACCTGCATAAATGATTATATAAAGTAAGATAAGGGTCTGTATTTTTATTGGGAGATGTCAGCAAATGGGACATGCATTTTGCATTTAGTGTTTGGATGATTTTCAGTAGGGCTGCAACTAACGATTATTTTCCAAATTGATTAATCTGTTGATTATTTTTTCCGATTCATCGATTAATAATCGGATTGCCAAAGGTTCCTTAAAGAGGACTTTTTGTTAAATGAAACCAGGTCAATCTAAAACTTTTCCACTTGAGGAGTTCTTGATTAATTAAATAAGTTTCGCCATTTAAACTGCCCCTGAACTTACATTTGGAAGCTCCTGGTTGACAAAGGTAAGCGTACAGCCCTGAGAAGAAGCATGAGTTCTAAAAACCATTAAGGTTATTGTGAGCATTTTAAAGGATTAAAAATGAAATGGAAGCTGTATGACATCGTTAAAGTGACATCTTCCTTTTGTTTCCAAAGCATCAGACGAAACCAAGCGGAAGATGTACAGCTCCATCCTGGTTGTGGGAGGGGGGCTCATGTTTCACGGCGCTCAGGAATTTCTGCTTCATCGCATCATCAATAAGATGCCGCCTTCCTTCAGAAGGCTGGTGGACAACGTGGAAGTTATCACACGGCCAAAGGTAAGACCACCAGAACCAGTGGAAAAGCGCTACATTTACCCTTTACCATCACGTATGTATAATATTAACCCAGGTTTGGGTGTTTTACACCAGCTTACATGCAGTATTAAAGTGTCCTTTACCATAATAATGTAAAATAATTGCCGTCATGGCTTTGTCAAGCTGCTGCCTACCTTTGTAAAGCAGGAAAAAGACTAATACAAAGTGAATCCAGTAGAACTTTTTATTGCCTACCAGGAGTGGGTGACAATAGTTGAATAAACTTATGGCTCTCAAAATGGTATTGGTGCCCTATTTGCTGGTACTCACCGATACCACCATTTTAGGGCAGTATCGGGGCCCCGTCCGATACTGGTATCGGTATCGGTGCAACACTAATAAAAAATAACTGTGGTGTTGTTTTTTTGCGATGACCAAAGTGTTCAGTGTTATTTGCATTTCTGGCATAAAGTTCTGTACATGATAGAACAGATCTTCAAATTTTTCTTAGAGAACATTTGTTTGAGTCTGAATTAATCTTAATAAATTGCCTTTGGGTCTTTGCAGAGAGGATGTGAGGCCCTGTGCCATCTTGAAATGGTCAAGGCCCTGCTTTTTGATAGATGCATAATTGCTTATGAATGAAAGTTAATTTGTGCTTGATCTATTTTAGCACAGCATACCTTAGAAAATGTGTAAATGCATGGAAATATGGCGCATAAATATGATGGGGGATCACATGACTGAACAATTCTTGGAAAGAAAGTACTGCCTCCGGCCTCTTACTTTTTGGATGACAGAGAGGAGACTTTGAAAATGTTGGAAAAGTTTCTGTTTTCAGCTTCTAAATGTACTACGGTGGTAGTTGGTGGTTTTAGGTTTGCACTCTGTACCCTTAACTCACCCCTAAAGTCAAGCATAAGCCAGGCTAAACAGTTGCATGGCTGTTATAGTCATACTAAACACATTTTGCTATAGTAATATGTTTCTATCAAATAGAATAATACAGTGTAGTTTTCAGGGTTTTTCAACCCAGGTCCTCAAGGCACACTGCCCTGCATGCTTAAGGTGTTTCCTTACTTCAGCATGATGATGATGATGATGATGATGATTTGAGTTCAGAAAACCCTGTTAATCTGCTATCAGTTGATATCAGGTGTGCACCGCCTAGAAACATCCAAAACATGAAGGGCAGTGTGCCTTGAGGACCAGGGTAGAAAAACCCTAGTTTAGATGCAGCTGCTGTTTCTATTAAATAGAAAAAGTGGAAGAAAAAAAAACTCAACAGTGCAGCAGGTGTTTTTAAATCAAATCAGCTCAGTCTCTTTATTATTTGGCTCCTCGATATCTCTTACGTAAGTAGCTTATTTCTCATTCAAATATACCCATCATATTCGGTGCACAGGAACTGGTAACGCACAGGAGCTTTTCATTAAAGGCAGCTCGGCCCCACATCTCTGATAAGGCAGATAAATGAATGCAGAGATCCCCGTAGTGACTTATTGATTCCTTTTCCATTCTCAGAGCCCAACTTATTCTAATGAAATCAGTTGTTTCCTCTTCTATTGGCTTCCCCCTCTTATTTCCCTAGGGAGGCGTCAGGACATAGCAACAATAGAAAAACAGCAGGAGGAGTTTTTTTCTTCTTGTATTTACATTTTTTCTTGACAGAAACAGACACAAGTTTATAAAACTAATGCATTTATTTAATCTTTTTTTTTTTAATGCAGGCATGAGGCCATAGCACAGTTTGCACAGCCTAAGCAAAAGCTATTTCTACGTATTTGTGGGATCAATCAATCTAGCTGATATTTAAAACATTGCCCCATAACAACACAGGTACATATTTGGGTGGATTCTATTTTTGATCCTGCCCACCAAGTCAGCTCTTTATACTGTATAATAGTGATGGGTCCAGCAACACTGATGCGTCGGGGCATGAGTGGAGACCGTACAGCTAAACACTGTATCGGTGCGCATGTCATTTCAAGCAAGCTAAGAGACCGATACAGGAGTTTTTTTTCTAACTGACTGACACACTAACCTGCTTTTAAAAACGTATGGATCAGCCTGAAAGGAATAGGAGCTTTGCGCCTTTATTTATATTTTCTCATTGTGTCATACTTTTCCTCTCAGTTGTCACTCAACTTATCTGAATTAAAGTTCATTTCAAATTGGCTTAGTTTATTTACTGTTTTTATAGTACTTATTGTTTTAAAATCATGATTTTAAAAACGTAATCCACAAGCATCCTCATTCACATTTTCCCCTAAATTTCACGTTATATGTTTACATTTTTTATTGGCTACATCTAAAAATATGAAGGATATTTTCAATGTAAGCATAGATATCAGATACTACAGTATGTCATCAAATCAATTGAGTTTAGTCTGTCAAGTAAGCTGCCTGTAGTGGCTTTAAAGGTCCAGCAGGTGTCAGTGTTCTGGGACAGCATTCAGTTCTTGTTTAAAACTTTGATTTTTGGTTAATGGGGCAAAAGACTTTTATACATACATATTTAATGCATCGCTGACAGACTTCTCATGGGAAATATGAAACAAATAATTGAATCATGTCATAATGTATATTCTGGTGTGCTTGTGTTGAAGGATATGGACCCCAGGCTGATTTCATGGAAGGGAGGAGCAGTGCTTGCCTGCCTGGACACCACACAAGAGATGTGGATTCATCAGAGCGAGTGGCAGCGCTTCGGGGTCCGAATGCTCAGAGAGAGAGCTGCATTCGTTTGGTGAAAACAAAAGGGGGCTCTGAAGCTAAAAGTCAGTTTACACAGAAGAAGGTAGACTAGAGTGAAAAAAAAAGGACATTTTTTTCTGAATGTAAAGCTGTATTCTGACATGAAACGTTTGTTTATAACTACAGAGGTCATATTTGTCACCAACTTACTTGCTTATATTCTGTTAAGAGCCCTGAATTTCCCCATATCCATGCAGCTTTGGAGGTGTAAATAAACCTAGACTCATTTGACAAGAACTATGACAACATTTGGAAGAAGTTAACCTTTACTTTTTAAATCAATTAATACATTTAGGTTAAACTGAAATTGTCCCTTTTGCCTGATCTTATTTTTTTTACTGTTTGTGTGTCTACATAACTAAATACAGAAACTGTTTCTTCTAGAAAATTTAGATGTAGTGTTGTGTAATGTGATAAAGAATGAGAACAACTGTTCCTGATTTAAACATGTTCTAATGTTTATGTACAGCAACATGGAAATAAGCCAAGTTTAGTATAGATCATTTATTTAAACAGATATTTAAAAAAGAGAAACTTTGTGATGATCCCAAGGGATGACAATAACCTAGATGCTTTTGCCTGATATGTCTAAGACATGGATGTAAACTAGAAGGATAGAAGGATAGAAGGAGAGGGGAAGAAAAACAACAACAGGACTGAGGGATGCAGACAGCTGCTATATCAACCATTCTGGCCCCTAAGCATAGGTATTCCCAGAAAGGCATCAAGAAACTGCTAGCAGCAGTGGCAGCTGATGAAGAAGGGCTGCAGCACGGCGATGCTAAGGACAGACGCTGTGCACGGCCCCACGCCCACACTGTAAGTGTAGGCGTTTACCTGCAATGAAAAGTGGAATCACAGGGTTATTTATGTTCTTTAAAATATCCTATACATTTTTAAAAGATTAAGTTGAGGTAAAAAAAAAAAGAAGAAGAAAAAAAACAAACACTTGAGCTTTATTAAGAATAAACACATCTCACCTTCCTCATCCTCCTCCACCCATTGGTGGTGGGTTGGGACCTGCTCCATGAGTTATTCGTCCCATCCGCCTTCTGCCACCAGGGGGACCTGGAGGTCTACAAAAAGTAAGTGAATATAACTATGGAGCTTATTAACCCACACATGGACAAGTAATTAGCAACACCATCTTTGCAGTTGCTTTTTATTTAGTAAATTAATGTGGTTTCAAAGTATTCCTAATGAAGACATAACTGGCAAAATATGTAGTAGCAATCCTCTTGTTGCAAAGCTATTCTTAGAGGTTTTCTGTGTCAGTGGGGAAACACCAGGACTTCCGGTACCTACCCTCTGCCATCACTGAAGCGTGATGAAGCCACGTTTCCATTTCTTGATAAATCAGGGTGGATTATCGTCCTAAAACTTGTAGAAAACAAAGAAAGTTAGAACAGAAATGGTGTGGAAGAGTTTTCTGCAAATGTACTCGTTTATATGATGCGTATTTAGAAAACACCCCCAACTGCGATGTTCCACAATGGACAAATTTAAATTTACTAAACATCTTCACCTAAATCTTCACAGAATATCCTCCTATGGTTAATTTATTTCCATAATTCAACAAATTTATACATACATGCATCATACAGGTTTACATTTCAAGCAGTTATAATCCTATATTTGAACATTACATTAAGACAAAAATATTTTACACAGAAAAGTCAGTCAACTGTTACTCGATTGCTTGAACACTTTAAATTTTCCATTCATATGCCGTAATACAGCACACTGAAAAATCAGCTTCTTATGATCCATAACAGCAATTAAATTTAAAAGTCTTGTATTTATTACACCTTTGTAAGATTAAACATTTTGAAGAAACCAAATTTTGAGCTTCATTAGCTGTGAGCCACAATCAAAAATAACAGCAAAAACAACTGAAATATATCACTCGGGGTAAAAATAAAAGAATTATACAAATAATTGTAATTAAAAAATGGATGTAAACTTGTACAGATCAGCTTACTGCTCTAATTGAGATCTTTCAGTAGAATGATTATAAATGTGGATACTACAGTCTATTAATCAGTCAACTGATCAGAAATTTATTGTAAAAGCTCTTTAGTTTTTTTTTCTCCAATACAGCAGCAAAGTTTTTAATGAACTGTACAGGTTAACTTACAAGAGGCTGATGAACTCCACTGCCCCCCAGAAGAGATCAGTCAGTAAGGACAGGCTCCAGGGGGACTGGGACCTGCTGTCCAGGACCTGGCCTGAGGAACACACGATACGGTTTAATACAGTTTAAGCAGTAATATTTTAGTCCTCTATCATTTATTGGTGAACATATCACCCCCTAGACCTCGCTTAGAGGTAATATTCAGGTAAGGAAATCTATTTGGGGGTTAAAATAAACAACTGATCACTATCCATCTTTAAAGATCTACATTATTTTGTGGAGGAATATGTTAAATGGACACAAATCCTATAAAGATTTATATAAACTGCCAGAGTGCTAAGCTAACTTAGCCAGTAGAAGCTAACAAACTAAATAGCTAAGTTGGATTTTGCTCTCACATTACATAACCTGGTTTCTTGGGTATTAAAACATCTTTCTATATTTTTACTTTTACACGAGCCTGTATATCTCATTAAATTTCAATTTTGTAAAGAAATTTAGATCCACTCACCGTTGGACACGTACACCATCTCTGGTAGGCAAAACACAGCTGTGTTTACGCTCAGCGCTATGCTTCCGGGTTCGTCTTCTTCTTGTTGTAGGATTTATTTGCGGTTGGCAAACAATTATAAGGAGCATTACCGCCACCAACC